TCCTGGCTAAAGTGTCGCCATTGAAATTCAAATGTATTTATGACTTCCCCCCCTCCGCGTTGAAAATAGTTTCCAAACGTATTGCGCAAAGTGCGGTGCAGCTGAGCTTTGCAGTCGTTCCGATTGATTGCTCGTTCTACTTTGAAACACTAGGTGGAATCAGCCTTGGTAGAGTTTGACAAATTTTTATTTATATAAACAATTCGATAAAGAATTAGACTCTCCCTTACTATTACGTTAGCCTTTGAAATTAGGACACTTTAAGCCTACGAACCAGAGCCGCGTGAACTCTTTTCATACACGGAACTCTTTGAAATTTCGAATAGCTCCCATCGAACTTACACGTGCACTTGGCTTCCTTTTCACACACGTCAGTCTCCGCAGTTCTCTTTTACAAGTAATTTCCTGGTTTCTGTAACGCGAAAAGAATCCCGCGTTACTCCATTCGCCACAATACAAGGGACGTGAATGGGTCGCGTGAAAAACACCGGGGATAGACGGTCCTATGTTATACGCGGACCATTCACGTCAGAGTCATTGCTTGGAAAGCTATGCATAAAAAATGAGATGTTCGGCGCGAGCATCGATTTTCTGGAATTTCTAAATTTCCTTCCGGGGAGTATTCACGGGTTCTATCGGCATTTGCAAGTCGATGCGCACGTTTCTGCACGGCTGCGCGAGGGCGTAAATTTTGAAATTCTTTCGAGGGCCGTGCGTCGTCTACCGGATCTGATAACCGGAGTCGAACAAGCGCGGATGTCTCCGTGTTTTCTTCGAATATCGTAGCTAGAGTGTCGTCGCTGCTTTTCGAAATCAGAGTACTTTGCTATCGATAGACGCAACAGTTGCAATCTTGTAATCGCAATTTAACTGAATATTTAATTAACGGACAGGTTTACTCCGAGAATTACAATTATTGGCACGTCTTGATTAAGGATGATTCCGAGAAACTCTCTCAGGTTGAAAGTTTAACCAGCACGAAGCGGAAGGCGTTATTTATTTTATTTCTATCTCTACTCGGATCTTGGGAAAACAGTCAATTATCGCTAATCACTCTGCAGGAATTAATTTATTCTTTCGTGGAAGTGCCAATATTTCAACTATGTTTCTATTGCGAAACCATCAGAATTTTCCCTGATAGAGGCTGGCAGTCAAAGGGTTAAGCGCGAGCCACCCCGTATAAGGAGAACACGTCGAACGGGCTTCCTCGATATGTATTATTTGGCCCAGAATCCCGTCAGAACGTTCGCGGCTGAAAGAAAGAGAGCAATCGAATGCATCCCCTGGCCTTCTTTCGTCGAGCTAGCAGACACACAGACAGACACCCCGGAATAGCTGCCTTCCCTCACTCGTCTGGCTTGTCTCTCTCCCCTTTCCTTGATACCAATATTGTTAATCTATTCGTTCGTTCTTGGCACGAGATCAGACGAGAGATTGCTACGGTCAACAGCGTAATTCAGTCGCTCGACGACGTTTCTTTCCGCTCACGCTAGATTTAACCGCGACGAGGATGCACGGCCGATGGTGATTAGACGAATTGAAGAGGGAAAGAAAACATCGACTTCGTTAGGCTTGCTTTGAACGAGTGTAACGGGGACGGGGGAAAATTTCAGCAATTTTAGAAACGATAACTACAGGGCCTGGGGGATGGTAAACATGACGGTAATTTGAAGGCCCTCGCGACTGGAGCGAGAAGGTAAATTATTGGGTTCAAGGGCTGTAGTTTATGAATTTGCGAAGATTGGTTCGGGCTGGCGGGGTTCGAAAATATCACAGACTAGGACCTTAGGAAATCACCAAGAAGCAGGATATGCATGATTTTCTAAACAATGAAAAATATCCCAGTAACATATTTCAACTGTTCACTGCACAAATTAACTCCACTTTTTGAAGAATTTTTAATTTAAGTGTCAAAGCACTTGGTATAGTCATAACTTTTTACGCGTTGGCAAAGTGGAAATGTTAATAAAGGAAAATTAATGACAGCGATTTCATACTAGAACAGTAGACGACTGAAGAGTTGGAATCAATATTCCGAAACTCAATGGTTAAATGAAACATGCGTACGAATATTATTGAAAACAGAGGAGTGTTTTGTTTTAGCGTATCCGCGACCGTTTACGTTGGAAATCGCAGTCTGAACGCTGGAAAAGTGGGAGAATCGGTTTTTGATATTGATAAATGCATCGACCATCAACAAGTATAAAACTGCGATTTCATTTGAAATGTTCAAACAATTCGTTGATCCTCAGAGGCAAATGGAATTCAGCGTGTCGTAACTCGACGAACGAGAAACACGAACTGGAGCAAATATTTTCGCGATTGACTGGAATCACGAGTCGGGAATGTTCACGTTGACCGATGAATTCGGCCTTTTCTGTCCGTCAATTCCGCATGGTTTTCACAGGACATGTCAGAAAGCGACAGCAACTTTTTGGGATATTCGAAGCTTCGAAATCCAACGACATCGGTATTATCGGGAAACCTCGATTTAGTGGATTACAAGTTTAACTGGCAGAGCATTCTACAGTTTTCTTTTGCAATCCTTCGTTTTCCCCTTGTGTTATTTTTAGATCGAAGACTCTGTTATAAATCTAGTAATTAGGATTACTTAAAAAGAAAAGTTTTCCTTTTAATACTTCTGAAAAATGTCTGTCTGTTTTCACAACAAAAGACTACCTCGTCGAAGTTACTCCATTTTTAGGAAAAAAACCAATCTCCAATTGGAGAACGTCGGGCGCAGGATGAGACGGGAATGCGACAGGAACGAAAGCAGAACGAGCATCGTAGAAATGAGACGGGAAGGATTTTTTCTCCGCCGATGATCGCGCGTGACACTTAATTACCATTTTAGTCTGGAACTTAATTACTGGAAATGGCGACTTTATTCCCCTCGCGAGACACCAAAGCGAGGCTTTCAGAGGAGACATTCAGCCGATTGATTCGCCCATTGGCGAGCAAAGTGCGTGTTAATTGAACGAGAGCAGCGCAGCGTCGAGCTAACTGGAAAATGTCAGGCTATAGATTTTGAACGTGTAACCGCTTGAATGGAGCACGTGACCTGCTTATAAAGGCAAACAAAATGTCTGCGTGATTGATCGTCTACAAAGTTTGTCTAATGATCGATATTAGTTGACACTGGTGAGCAGAGTTGTGTGGCAATTATACCTTAGGAAAATTAGAACAAGAATATCTCTATTAATGATATTAAAGGGATCCTTGATCTGATTTAACGAAGGAAGGAGAGACCGAACGCTTCGCGCATCATTCCGAACTTAAGAGGAAACTTAGTTGGCAAAGTAAAACTTCTTTGTTACTGTCTACTTCATACACGATAAATAAATGGGAAAATGTTCCAAGGATGGCAACTCTTCAAACTTCACACGTAACAATTTAACGATTTTAATAATTTTAATAATTCAACGAATCTCGAAGTAATTTTCTCAACTCTGTTTCGACCATTCAACCAGTTTAGACGATGTTTGGGCATTCTTCATCATGATCCTAATCAACGTAGTCTCGATAAGGTCCGTTAAAAGCGCCACCGGTTAATGGCGCGCGGTTTGAATCGAGCAACACGCGCGCTATCGGTACATTCCAATTTCCGTCGATGGAACTCCGTCGATAAAAGTTCGACACGTGATTCTCATGCAAATGCTTGCTGCAGGGGACGCGCAAGTTTACGTCCACGACCACGCGACCAATGGCATAATTCTTGCATGCAAATACGACCGATTCGTTGCGCGTTACGTTCGCTCCAATTCAGAATTCACAGTCGCGAGATACCGGCTACATCTCGGTTATTATCATAATTACCTGAAATCCATAACCCCGATAGAACTACGGGCGAAATGAATTTCCTTTGTTCGCGAACGTTGCTAAAACAATCGTACGCCATTGTTTCGTAATGCGAACGAAAAATGTGTGCACCTCGAGCGCGTTACGCGACGGTTGTACAATCACGCGCGCATTTATTACACTTTTCATGTAAATTGAGCGCGGAGCGAGGCTATCGGTTTGGACAGTGAATGAGACTGCGCGCGATTCCTTTGTTCGAATCTCTATTGTGAGATGCAGGGAATTCGATAAATATTGATTTTATCAAAAATTGGTTCGGTCAAGCTTTGAATGCTGCAAAGGAGGCCGTACAGCACGTGATTCATATCTCCCTAGATTGTTTTTAATGGAAATCAACTTTCCCTGTGCGATGAAAATTCCAGGTGCTGTTGATAGAATATTCTTCATTAAAAGTTGCTGATGAAAATTTTGATTGTATACCTAATAGCATTATGTATTCGGTTCGGTAATTTTAGCTTCGATGTTCATATCCCCTCTATAAATGAGTCTCACGCTAACAGAGACATTTGAGCCTATATTCGAACTAATTCCATCGCGTTATGAAACGCAACCTTTCGTCCATGTCGCAACACCGTTAATCAGTTAACGACAGCCCAGAGAGGCTTTCCAGTGCTCAGGTATTTTAGGTTACAATTGACATTCAGCGAACGTGGAGAACTTCGTGGCAGACGAAGCTACAGTTCACTGCTTATAGTAGAATTTAAACTTTTTGTCGTAATTGTAAATAGACGCGTCTCGCAGCTGAAAGTGCCCGATAAAACAAAAATTAGATCAAGGGTCCTTGGGATTCATCGCGAACATTCGATTTATCGCGTGAGCACTAATTCTTCGTCAAAGGACTCGTTCTTTGAAAAGTACATTCGCAACGGGATCGATACGTTGCTATTGATGTCCTTTAACCAGTCAGCTGTGATTGACGAGTATACTCGTCATGCATAAAATTTAAGAGTACGTTTCACATATTAATTTCTCTAAAAGAAAGAGAACGCCACAGCTGACTGGTTGATCCTCGTATTCTTCCTGAAGAGCCCTTGCAAAATGGCCAAAACCTTGCTCGTGCAACTATACGTATTGCCGCTGCAAAGAATGCTTCTACTTCAACGTACCTGAAATGGAAAGGGTGAATGTAAGAAACGACTCACCTTGGTGTAGACACCGGCGCTGGACAGTTCGTTCTCGATGACCATCACGATGATGCCGAACATGCCCATGACGAGAGCGTAGTCGCTGATGCGTTTCCGCTTCTCGAACAGTGCCTTCCGTCTGCCCAGCCGGTAACCGACGTTGGGTTTGTGCTTCGAGCCAGGTCCTATGCTGCCTGAGGGTCCCTTCACCTGGCTGCCAAGCATGCGGTCGTCCGTGTACCGTGGGTACTCCGAGAGGACGCCAACAAGGGCGATACCAGCGTCCTCGCCGGTTCCGGTAGCACCGCCGCTACCGCAACCAGCACCCCCGCCTCCGCCCCCAGCGCCACCCACGCCGCCCCCACCAGCCACGCCGCCGCTGTTCTTCATCGCTCCCGGGATCGAGAGAGTCGACACTGGCTTCCGTAGCTGGAAACATTACGGCCCACTTTTAGTAAATCGCACGCAAATTCGGTCATGCTTCGGGGGGCGTAATCTACATACAGGGTGGAACCTTCGATAACCTTCTATAGTACCATTCCGAACTGGTCTCAACAGGAGCTGCTATATAAAGATTGAAAAATGTGGGATTTAATTTAATAAGCATCGATGATCATGAAATTTAAGATAAAAATAAATGATCCCGGCGAGTGTGCCTGAAATCAAGACAAATTTGTCTCGATAAGTTTTTTTTTTTTGTGAGGCTATTGGTAACAGGGATGTTCAAAACCCTATATAACAGTGGGCGCTATACCTCCAGGAAGGAATAAAAGTTTCGCTGCAACGCGCGGGTAGCATGCTTCGCCTACAGACCGTTTCGTGATATCGTACGTTTTAAATAGGACCGTGCCTGAGAGAACGAAGTTTACGGTAGCAGCAGCCATCCATCGCTGCAGCGCTGAACCGACTGTGAAAAATATACTACTCGAACGATAAAGAGCGATGGAGCCACGGGGACGACGATAGAGCGACGAGCGAGTTGACGACCGCCTGCATCATTCACGAGCGACTCTTGATTCGGATCACGTGGAAATCCGGTCAAGGAGGTGGCCATCGCCGTCGGCGTGTGTCTCGTGGAATCTCCATTCCAAGAGATCGATCGCATTTAGTGCTCGTGGCAATGGTAAGCGGTATTCGATGACAGAAACGAAGAGTTGCGTGAAATATGGTTCAGAGCAGCGTTTCCCAAATTTTTTTTAGCGAAATCCAGTTCAGTGCAGCGTTTCCAAAATTTTTGTAGTCGACGAACACTTGTCTCAAAGTGTATTTGTAGAAAGTTATGATCGTCCTTACGCCAGTACCATGAGTGTACAATTCATCTCAGAGACGCACGCGTATAGTGCGAAAACAAATCGCTTATAAAGAATTGATAAATGGAAAAGGTATGAATTGTAAATGCATCATGAATAGGAAATACAGGAATTGGTATCGGGTACGCGCGGTCGGAAGAGTTCTCTATGGAAATGTCGATGAAGGAAGGAGCAACGAGGGGTTCTCCAACGAAGCGTTAGAAATTGCAGGGGACCAAGTAAATGGATTAGTGTGAGATGCCTCTATAAAGATAAATTGTACAGGCAGAGCAATATTTTTGGATAATAGATTTGGAGACAATCGAAATAAGTTACACAGTCATCCTTCCTGCATGATTTACAATTCGATTTTCTAAATTGACATTTGCCTAATATAGAATTTAAAAACGATTACGTGACGTCTGAAACGTCGCTTGAATAGCTTCGTAAAAATGTGTTCCATCGTAAGATAGTTAAACGTAAAATATACGGAAGTCCAGAAATCCTGATCCCTGTGTGCACAATCCCTAGCGCGTGGAGAATAATCCAAGTTAAACGTACGGTCGCGCAGCGGCCGGTTAAAAACTTAATTCCTGGTGATGAATTTTCATTCCGCAAGTAGTGCAGCAGGAGCACTTAAACAGATCTCCCCGTCCGCCCTAATGGGTGGAAGATGCAGCCACAGCTGTAACGACTCTGCTACCGAGATGCAACTTCATTTACCCTCAGGAATATCAACCTATCCGTTTCAATTCTGCACGTTTCAATTATAGTAGCGCCTGTAACCACGTTACAATTTCATCATGTAAAATGCCACTTAATCGAAGCAAGGCTGAGGAAGAACAGTAGTATCTATTATTATTCAAAACTGAATAGTGAAATGTGACACGAAATGACTTTGAAAAATTAAGCAAGTACAGCTCTTACGACGTGTCCGACCATTGCTCGCTGTTTCTATTTGTGATTATGTTCGCAGTTTCTTCCTAGCGCACTCGGCCAATATTATTAATCCTCAAATAATTTGAGAGTCACCGAAACAAATTGAATGGTACATAAAATTGCTTTCCTCGAAACCAAACGTTATAGAAAAAGTTTCATTTAGTACTCTCGGTTCGCTTTTGCAAAAGGAATTATCCTACGTCGTCGCGTGCCGCATCCCCTCGCCTTGCGTGAGAAAGATCAACGATCGCGACTGTCTAATTATCCCCCGCGATTATAGGACGCGAGGCGAACGATTTTACGATAGGCGACCCCGTGACCTTTTGCAAGGAGTCGAGGGAAGGAGGTAAGATGGGTCGTGTTATTGGGAAAGGACAGAAAGGAGGATACAGAAATGGGGGGGACGGTAGTCATGGAAACCGCCCCAAGAGGCTACATCTTCCGTAATCTAAACCTTGATTGGCTAAGGTAATCTTAAACTTGTAGCCTCCGCAAAGTTCGCACTTTAAAACCAACACCAACAATCGCGACTGGTCTTCGATCGCTCGTATGGTTAGCCTCGATTCGAAGGAATTTCATTGGCATACGATCCTCTTCGTTCGACGTCATGGAATCGGTGACGTAATGACTCCGTAGAAAAGTCAATTCACAACGTCGATCTCCAAGTAGCCAAGACCTCGTCGAGCTCTGCCAAGTCTTATGACACTCGTCTGCCAGTAAATATTGAGTTTTCTGCGGATGTCGAGTAGAAGGTAGAACCAAGACACTGCTTACACGAACCGATTTTTATATTGTCTATACTGTTTACGAGTTGTTGAATGTGCCGGAAGAGTTACCGTGGCCACTAGTTTAATATTACGGAAAAACACAAAATTTATATCAATGTGAAATTCAAGCTAGTCGCGAGTAATCCTAGCAGAATGGCAAAAATGTTACACCTTTAACCGGAAAGTTGATATCGTACTCTCTGCTCGATGATTAAAAACGTGTTTTTAATTTTCAGGAGAAACGTGTGGATTTTTCATCGACACTGAGTTTCCTGTGAAGTTGAATATGAAAACTGAGTTGATTCAGTCTCGAAGTGCTAAAACTAACACAGTTTCGACTGGAAAGTGAGCACCGTGTTTTTCGCTGAATATTTTACACGTGGTTTGTAATTTTTCTCTCGACCAACACTGAATTTGTTTCACGGTAAAATATGAGAATTGAATATTTGCAAACATCAGAAATTTTTAATACATTAGGTAAGATTTAAGAATCACGATTAGACAGTTCCAATTTTACATCCGACAGCCACGTGTTTCGGTTGCACCAGCTGACCCCGTATTTCTGGCCTGCCGCTGCTCTAAATTTTTAATTATTCTCGATACCAAGTTAGCTGGCCTTTCAAGGTCACTTCTTCCACTCTGGGAGACGTCGCGAACTCTCGCACTAACGCTGCGGGCCTTGACCTTTTCCAGATGTGCACGAGGTGACATCCCTCGTTCTTATATTTATTTCCTTACTCTTTTCTCGCAGATGTTCCGACGGAAAAATTCGATTATCCTCGTGACTCTGTTCCATTCTTATTTGAGCAAATTTGGATACACAAATATTCGAAGATTATTAATGGTATTCGTACACCTATTCGTCAGAAATGGAAAAACTTCTTATGAATATCTACCGGTGGAACAATACCACTATCACAGGAATCATAGCACGATCCTACTAAACGATTAGTTTCAAAATCACTTTCATATTCGTCCACAAAGCTTCGTCGGCACCTCTGAGAAGTAGTTGGAGTGCAAAGGGTTGTCCAAATAAAACTTGGCCCATCTCTCCTCTCAATCTTATTTCGTTGCACACGTGATCCGCGTACATAAGCATTCGCCGATATTCAATATCCTCTTTGCCTTCCCCTCAACCCAAAACATTGTTATCCAACGTTTACCTCTCGTAACAGCACCAAGCTTTTAAGCGCAAAGATACACGAGCCTCTCGATACTCTGATTATTTCGAGGGGCGAAATTTCGCTCCGATTACTTCTAACGCGAAATTCCTGTAACGACGGTGGAATCGAATCAAACGATAGAAGGGTCGAACGTTTTCGCGATTTCACAGCTCGCGAGAGGCTCGATCGCGATTATTTCGCGGGAGCACTTAATTAAATTCCTGTTGGACGTTCCCGTTTCGACGGGGCTACGTGATTTCGAGTCGCGCGTGCGGTAATTAGTATTTCGCTTGCAGTACGGGCTTATCGAACACGGTCGCCCTATCAGCTTCCCCGTTTATCGGCCCCTGACGATCTTTGACCATGCCCTCCACTCGAACGGGAATAAAGGAAGCTGCTGCGCTCGTGGAACACAGAAGGGGAATCGATCCGATCGTCTGCGTTCACGTCGACGTTTTCGGCTTCGCGAGCACCACCAGGTCGGGCCTTTGTTGTGTATCGATGCAAAACGTCCGTTCCATTCCGTTCCGTCCCGTCGACGTATTTCCGTTTCGTTGTACCTCGTTGTTTCTCTTTGAATTTCCAAGGCATTCCTTGCGAACGGGAACCCTAAAATTTCCCTTCGATTGCCCGTTTCAACGTGCCAGCTCGTACGCCGTGTACCAGTTTTGCCTAGTTAGACATTTTCCCCCTTTCGACGAAAACAGTTCCACCGGATTCTACAAGATTACATGGTTTCATGTTTCGGTGGTTGGGGAATTTTAATATCGGGAAAAGAATTCGGCCAAACCGAGCACGTCGACTCAAGTAGAATTGACCGACAATGGTTAGAGGCGCTCTGAAGCGCGCGCAACCGTTTCTAAACTCAATTTTCTCAAAAATCCAGGCTTCGTATACAAAATTATGGTTCCTTCGTACGTATCTAGCTCGTGGGCGGGTTCCGCAACTTCCTCTCTGACCGAAATTCCCTGTACCACTTTCGGCCCCCGCAATAAAAGGCAAACTCCGATGAACGCCGTAAATCCAGCACGAAACGACGGTGAAACGTCGTCGACAAACAGGCGCGCGACGGGTGTCTGTATTGAATTCAATCTCGTCTCAATTTCAATTCCATAATCGTCGCGGGAACGCCGCCGCCTCGGGGCAGCAGCTAACGCCGCGCGCCACGGATTACTCCCATCGTCGCTCCAGCGCTGTTCGAAACTTTCTTTCTCGGCTGTTAACAACGCCAACTCCGCGAAGATCCGACCTCCGCAATTGGGAAACTCTAT